AATATTCAAAGAAGAAATATCACAGCTGAGCAAGAAGATGTAAGTATATCTACTGAAGCAAATCAAAGCTGATATATACGCAAATCCACTAATTCGAGTACGTTTTCTAGTAACTAAAAGAATTACCTAACGATGATGTCCGTGAGATTACTAGCACGAGAAAATCTATCATGAAGGCAAGACACGATATCCAATTCGGTGACGCCCCACAGTCCAGAGCGGTTTATCGTATCCCATTGATGATCGATATTTAAAATACTGTACAGCTCTTTGTTTTCATTCGATGGCAGAGGCTCTAGACACTGTTGCAGTCTCGTTTCAAGTTTCCCTAATGTACTCACACAGGTGTGCCACTGTAATATACGTGTTATTAAATAATCAATAAAAAACAGCGAATGGATAACATCAAATTTCAATGATTATAGCGTACTCACAAGAGTATGTATAAGATCAGGGTTATTAGCAGTTCCGCTCTCCATTAGCAGTACCAGCACCATGTTCTGGTGTCCGCAAAGAAATAATTCAGAAGCTTCGAGGGAAATTTCATCTTTAGACGCGGTGAGCCAATCCTCTTCGAGCTCGTCTTCTCCGTCGCTGCCTATTTCCTTATTGACCGCCTCTAACTTTTGCTTGATCATTTGATTGGTTGCCGTCGAGAATCCTGATAGATCACGGAATTCGCTGGGGGTGGTCTCCCTGCTGCAAAATCCACTGGTCCTTTCGTCAGCGAGCAGACTGAGCTTGGACATCAACGGTGTCAGTTGCAAACCGTCCAGTTTCTTCTTCTGAAGGAAATCGTACGAGTTGCCGCACTCGGATGCTGATTTCCGTCTGTCGTCGTTGTCGCTGATGTTGAGTGGCTTCAATGGAAGGCTCATCGACCTGCGATAGGTTTCTTGCTTCGCTTTATTATCTAACTTCACCTCGCGACAGCTATTCAATTTCTCTAAATTGCCTTTGCTCGTGGTATCACAGTTATTCGTCTGATTATCGACGTGACAATGATTAGTTATGCTGCCTAAGAAGTCATTACGGTTGACCGTGTTGTCGGTGTCATCCGTGAGCTCCTCGTAATGGGAGGATATGTATTGCTCGTACAACGACATGGACACCGGCAGTCCGTCGCAACGAAACACGGGATAGCATGGATCGGTAATCGTGTGATATTGCTTCTTGCACGCGAGTTTCTTTTGAGGGGAAGTCTCAGGCGATACATCCTGCTTTAACGGTGGCAGACCCAATCCGTATGGTCTAACCGATATCCTGTTGGAGTACACATTCACGGACAACTCCAAGTCGTGCATGCTTAAGCTCTTTTTGTTGAACTCTTTCCTTTTAATCACTTTCTTCTTCGGTGGAACGTTTCTCAGTTTATTCAAACGTTTACATCTAAGCGCCTCTTTGACAACATCCGGTATGTCGTCCACGTTCGCCTTTATTTCCTCTCTCTCCTCCGCTGTCTCGTTATTGGCGTCCTCGTTAGTGTTACATATTAACATAACGTTGCCGTGCAATACTCTATTTACATCTTTCAACGGTGTAGAGCAAACACTGGGAGTCAAAGGGTTCGTACACTTAGGACGGTCTGATTTACTTTCCTGTTTACGTTTCACCGGAGAGCTGTAAGCGGTGAGCGGAACGGATGGTATATAATGATTGTTATCGTTGTACTGCGAAGAATCTAATTCCGTTTCTTCAGGTACTGTGAAAATACGAGAAGTGTCGCGCTTCATTCCGGACAGGGGCGGTTCCTTATTGTTCTTAGAAATGTTCTACAAATAAGATTATTACATTGCTATTGATAATAAGTATTGATATAGACACTGACTTATAGATTATTTAAAATAGAATTCGATTTTGAGTGTGTGTTAGTAAATTGAACACCTCACCTTTCTCTGCAACATTTTCTTTAAAACAGAATCAAAGTAAGAACTGTAATAACGTTCATTGTTTGCTTCCTGTACAAGTTTCGCGAACTGTTTCTGTTCTATGTAGACTTTCAATAATTGCACTCCGACAGGGAGGTGAAATTCAGTTGATATTTTCTCTGCTGGAGCCTGAAAAGGAGAATACATGTTAATATTCTATATTCTGAATGTTGAATATGAAAAGGATGTATTTTCAACGTGCCTTTATTCTATATGGATCGGTTATAACGATTTGTTTGGTCAAATCTGCACTTAATTGAGTAGCAACTACCCTGAAACATTAATAAACGGAAAATTAAGCTTATCTAAATAAAAAAGGGCGACGCTTGTAATTATTTTAAGTCTCACTTATTATTATAGAAGACTGCACCTCCCACAACACCATTAGTTTCTTGACAATATTGCAAAACTTCGATTGCTTCTAAAAATATGTTACTAGCACTCTGGAGGCAAAATGAAGTTAGTCTCAAACACAATATTAATAATCAAATATGAAAAAAGAAGGAGCGTTAAATTAAATTATTTATATACGATTAAAAAAACATAATAAAAATAATACCATGCACTAACCTTTGGAAGTTTGATAATAGGTATGTTGGAAAAAAGATTGGCACTATATTGAAGTATTGGCAAATAAGTTTCAAACATCTGATATAGCTTTTCTGTAAATTTGTTTCTATCATTGTTAAACGATTCTAATATTTTATTAAGGTCACAATGAAAAAATTTTAATAATGACTCTAATGTGTTTGCACGCCTTTCTAAAATCCAATCGTGTATATTCCTATCAGTTCCCACTGCCTACAAAACAATAAACAATCATATATATATATATATGCATGTGTATATATGTATACATACATACCAAATGTTAATTCATGCTGAGTATGACGCATACAGCAATAAAATGATATTAGATTACTCTTTCATTCAGTGTAAACTGATAATTGTAATATTTACAACAGATAACAGCTACCGTAAAGTTACAACATGCAAATCTTTTAATACTGTATACTTTTTACTATCCCTCACACGCACTATCGAAGAGTAAATAAAATATAATAATACACTCACAAGGATGTACTGTCCAAACTTTTTCAGTACAAATTTTCCTCCCTGTAGTATAATTGATTTTGGTGCAGAAAAGGAAATTGTGAGAAATTGATTAACAGCCATTAATTGACCTGCTAAAGCCAGCCTTTGGGTAAGAGACACCCATGCTGGATGGAAGTACATAACTGCTTCTGCAGGATCATCGTCTTCTTTACAACACCTTGCGGTATCATAAACAAATACTATCATCATCTCTCTAAAAAAGAAAAGCAAAATGTTGCAATTGTTTTCATATAATTTATTATCTTTACGATACATGTACTATCGATGGATATAAAGGTATTAATTACATGAAACTACTACTCTATAGTATATATATTACTATAATTCTCAAGACAAAATAAAATGATAATTTCTTTTACAAATGAAGTAGCTTACCCTGCAGTAATTGATAAAAATATTCTATGCACAATGGTAAAACTATATCAATTTCCATTTTTGGAAAATTACAGACATAATTCTAATATCTGCTACTTGCTTTGGTTCAGATTTACGAATGAGTCTATATAGTAAACAATTGTGACCAGAGAAGTACTGATTAGCACCAGTAACAACCGATAACAAAATAAGTAAGATAAGATTACAGTTGAGAATACATCTCTTCTTGAGAATACTGTTGGACATAATAGCACATTTAATACAAAAATATAGTACTACATGTGTAAGAAGGAGTGAGCTTACTTTCTTATATAAAAAAACTTGGAATTGATTAACGTATTAATCATTAAATTATTATAGGATTTTTATCAATACAAGTAGAATGTAAAAGCAAAAAAAAATTCTATTTTATTATACAGACATAAATAATTTTTTATAAGTAATATTTTATATGCATAACAACAGGAATTATCAATGTTACCAAATATTCATAAAATATATCGACTAAGATTCAAAGAACAACAAAAACAAAGGAAAGAAAAACTTCTCAAAAATAATATATATATATATAAATAATAAATACAGTTTTTTCTTTATGCAAATACCATATTATGACTAACGAATACGTGTCGATAAATTACAGCTAAAAGTGTGTTTACAACATCGACAAAAATTAAGGAAAAAGTCACACTTAAATCTACTAGTAGAAGCCTCAAAACAAATATATTTGAAAATAATGCTAAATGCAAAACGGGGGAAGGGAATAAAGTATACGAGAGTCTTTGAATAAACGATTAACGAACTCACACCAACTTAAAATCAGCATTTTCTTTAACAAAAATCAAGGACTTAAAAAGTGACATGCCGCTGAAAAAATGACCGGTGAATCAAGTGTAACAGCGATTCAATGTGCAGCGTGGCATAGTAAACAAAACATTATCATTGAATTAGAGATGCACTTTCTACGCTGTGCTATAATTAGATAAGGATAGGCATTACGCAATATCTTCGTACTTTGCCATGGTGACTGTTTACGGTCTAGCGTGTCGCGGATTCAGACTGCAATTGCGATAATCGTGTTACAATGTAAACCTCTGTCCCGCTTTTCGCTCGCTTTTTCTCACTCGATATGAGAGGTTCGACGCCGAGTTTCCCGTCCGTCTTCGCCGTTGCTTACGATGCTACTGAGCGCCGCGAAAAATGCACTTCGATGGAAATGCACTTTTCCGTTATATAATGTAAAATCTCAGCCATAATAATCTTGACTTCCAATCAAGCTGAATAGAGCCGCTCCTTTACCGCCATGCTGATATCGATCTCTGTCCTGCACAACGCTCTTGGCACAGATTTCAAATGCAGCATAGACCGTCCCTGTAATGGGATTTTCTGGCTACCAGACTGTCTTATCGATACCGCCGAAAATCCACGGACAAGTTGCAAAGTGAAATTACAATACCCGCGATATTCGAATTTTACATTCATTTATTATATTCGGCAGGTGTGCGATTAAAAATTATATTGGAAAAAGAATGCTTGATTTTTAAGGGGCTGTAAATGTCTGTATAGTAACTATTATGTACAAATTTTATTATGTAATAAAATGAGTTTATAATCAGTACAGTTACAAAAATACATTTTTTGTTCGTTTGTGTATTTAATAAATTTATGAGACAATAACAAATTGAAGCATCACCTATACAATGCATCAGCTTTTTGAGAGTTCTTGTATACAGCAACGTAGACTTTCTAGGAAGATGTCGGCGTGATATTCTCCAAATATTAAGCATGGTCTCAATCGAATTGATTTGGTACCACAATCTCCGACCTGAATGCCTTGCGTTAATAGATACTTGTGATACTCATTGCAATAACAGAATGTTAATACTAAATATACACTGTATTCTCGTTTACCTTTACAACGTATTTCCTGTAATAATTTATTTTTCATAGCTTTACATGCCAGGTCAAATGCAATTATGAAACCTCTACCTCTTACAGAGTTTAGAACTTGCGGAAACTCTTGTTGCAATGTATTTAACTGACAAAGTAAATAATTACTGACGTGGCAAACGTGAGTTAATAAATTTTCAGCTTCAATAGTTTTTAGTACTGCTTCTAGTATTAATATTTTGCTCGGATCACCCATCCAAGTATTGAAAATCTTATACGGTTGCTCAGGCCTGAAAGAACACGAAGTTATAATGTTTAAGGAAGAATATTCCATTACAAAACGTTAAAATGATAAAACGATACGCTACGTGTATTCAAGGGAGTGATAAAAGCCGCTTGCTTGCATTTTGTTGCTAAAGCTGACAATGTCAGGAGATGCATCCAATTGAAAATAATCGTGAGCCCACATTCGTCCTGTCGCACCACCTCCAGTTTGTATTTCGTCCATTATTAAAGGAATACCTCTCTATAAAATTACCAAATTTCTTTACAATCATTAATTTTGTTTATTTGCTTTAGAGAAATTGAAAAGAAATATTTAGTCACCTTTTTGGCAATGTTCTGCAAGGAATGGAAGAAATCGGATGAAGCGTGTCTGTCTCCTCCCTCGCATTGTATTGCTTCCACTATGACACCAGCTACTGGCGCTGAACTTTCATATTTCTCTATCAATTCTTCTACCTTCCAAGCATAATATTAAAGTTCATTTCATTCATATTAATAACATTATTTTGAGATACACGAATACCGAGTATACCTGCTCTAAGCATTTCTCATCTTCTTTCTTATTTTCCCTTTCATGTTCATCTAACGGATACAAATATTGTGGGAAAGGTGCTATTGGCCATGGAAGAGAAGGTATATCTGTTTTCATGGTATACTTAGAGTGTGTTAGTGCCAACGCAGCAAACGTCCTACCATGATATCCTCCTAATTTGATTAATTTCATCAATTCACGGCATTAGGCGATGCAGTGCTATATTGATCTACCTTCAAAAGAAAGAATGGACAATTCAGGACAACCGGGTGGTTTATTAAATGGAGCACTTTTCTTTTCTTCCTTTGTCAGATCTCTTCCTTCACGAAGTTTCCCTGCATATTTTATAAATGCTGCTTGTATAGCGTGTTCGTTTGAACAAGCACCACAAGTTGTTGTGAAAACACATGGCAGTCCCTTCGGGGCTACCTGATAAAATTATACATGTCTGGAACACCGCCTTTTATGGTATAGTTTGCATTCTAACTGCTGAAGGTGTCTTACGCATGGTTGAAGTAATGTATCCTGAAGTTTCTGTGGCCATTCCAATCCAGGAAATAGTCCTAATGCCGGCCTATTTGCCATGATGCGCTACAATTTTATATTATATTAATATTCATGGCCAGTGTATAGACTGTATATAACAATTTCACATTTTGTAATGAATTTACCTGATTTCCTTCACACGATAGAGCACCCAAGATTGATCGGTGATTATACCCAAGAGGAAGAGTAGAAATTTGCATAAACATGTCCAAGAAAACGTTTCCATCGATATCTGCTAGGTAATTTCCAACAGATCTCTGATAGTCTGCAAAATATTGAATGGAGCCCACTTGCTGTAATATTTTAGAGTACCTTAATTTTAAGTACTAGTTTTCCAATGAAACTCATTAAAAAACAAGAGATTTCTACCTGAATTTTAGAAAGTTCATCGAGGAGAGCTTCTGATCTTGGTCCAGGAATGTCTGTGAGCGTGTACGGTTTTGATGGTTCTCCAGGCAAAGGTGCTTTTGGCATGCGATGAAACTCTGCAAGTATCATTGAATTTTTATGCATCACACTTTAACAATAACAGCAATATTTCATTATACAATGATTTCCAACATATTTACTTTATACTTACGGCTAGCATGTGGACCTTTTCTAAGAGAGTTTGATACAGTTTTGAACATGTTGCGGAAAATGTTTGTATTTCTTAACTGTTATCACTGATTGTGAAAAGTTGATACGTATACAATATGCGCATAACGCGCACCTTCGATTCGCACTGAGTAAAAAGATATTCAAACAAAGTTTAAAAAAAAACGACAATAAAATATATATATGTATAATTCTTTTACATGAATGACATATTCTTGCTTTTGTTTTAAATTACGACAGAAGAAAGTAAACGCATGTTGATGCACGTTTTAGTAAGGATTAAACTTCAAAGTGGTACGAAAGTCTAACGTCTATCCGACAATAAAAGAGAAAAGATGGTACACACACAGAGAGAGAAAGAGAGAGAAAGAGAGAGAGAGATAGAGAGACAGACATTGTTTCTTTGTACATACGTGAGACGAAATGAAATGTACACTACTGAACGGTATTAATTGTAAGATTCCGTGTCAAGTTTCATGAAGCCACTGTCATACAGCAGTTTTATTATTTTGTAAGCAATTACAAATTAAAAAAGGTAAATTAACATACTATGCTTTTCCTCTAACTTATATTTATAGTGCAATAAAAACAACAAAGTTTATGATTAAAATTAGTACAAATATATTTATTATAAACTAGTAGTATTAGATTTAGACGAATATAGTTATGTAATCACACTTTGTTGCTTTTTCCTTAACAGAAATAAACACCTTGTTACATGATTAATAAGCGAAGGAGTGAAAATGGAGCAGCGTAAAATATACACGGCTGCGATCCCCTCTCTTCACCCGGTTTTTACACTTCAGTAGCATGCCAGAACTTACACGGCTAAATATCTAATACACGTCTGATATCGTTTCTACAATTTTTTTTACAGAAGAAACATTATTCCGATACACATCGTCGAACATGTCGCGCGTCTACGTAAGAAAGGAATCCCCCCCCGACAGAATGATCGTAGCCCGGCCGACATCGCCATCGATGGATTCATGGCTCCAACGGTGATCCGACGTATCTTAGAAACGATCAGGCGATATAACGTGCGTCTTGTCGAGATACCAACGGGGTTCGGTTGTCCAGATCCAACGGGAGGTCTTTCGTTTGCCTCGGAATATAAATAAAGCTAGTACACGACGTTGTTTCTCGATCGGCGCATCAATCCGCTCGCAAGTATCTTAGCACGAATACTTATTAATATTATACGTTATTAATATTTGTTCGTAAGTCTACAGAAGTTGGAAGTGTTCCGAGGCAACGTGAAACAATTCCCAGCTATATACGCGTTCGTTCTGTCATCTGAACAACCGAACCGTTCGGTTTTATCGTCGCCCGAAATAAAATTCCGTTTAAAAATCACACTCGCCTTAACTCTTTGCTATGCGTCGTCGATCGGACGTAGTTTAATAGAAATTTACATGGAACGTCGAGGAACGTTAGAAGCAGCAAAGAACATAGCAAAGAATTAAGAGCGTGGAACGAAATTGAACAATGAATATCGGTTATTCGAAGGGTAAGATTTTAAAAGAAAATTTGTTGCAATAATAAAAAGGTGCATTGTGTGTTTGTGTGTGTGTGTGTGTGTTTGTTTGTTTGTTTGTGTTTGTGTGTGTACGAGAGACGCATCGATTAATAATGGTACGACCACTCGGACCGAGTTTAGTAGAGCTAGTGCGGTGTATAAACCTGGGCAAAGTAACGGACTATGGTATTCTGTAACTATAATCGAACGTTCAAGGTAAAAAACAGATCAATGCCAGGCTCGGTGTGAACTTTCAATTAAAAATACTGTACAAGCATTATCCTGGCGAAAATGTACAACCTGTTTTGAGCGATCTGCTTTTCTTTCTCGCTTAAACGAATGGATCGACGACGGATGAGAACGCGTCAAAGGATCCGTGAAACACACAGAAATGTACGTACACGAAGCTCTTGATTCTTACTGTCAGAAAACACGTCTCGAGCGTTCAACGAATTCCTTCTTCCCTTCGAGTGAATACTTTAGACCTCCGCGGATACGAGCGTCTCAGGTGTAAAGTTCTCGTTCGCGGAAAGTTCTCGTTTTCCGACGGCAGAGTCGAATATTCAACTATTTTTTTACTTTCACTCTTATACTTCGCTAGTGAAACTCTTGAAGCGATTTCATTGAGTTTTGCTTCTTTAATTATATGTATATATACTTGTACATATACATATATATATATTTAGCTGTATATATATATATGTATATTATGTATGTATGTATGTATGTATGTATGTCCACGAAATAATATTGCCTGTTTATATTCATCGAGATTATAGATAACGAATATACTCGCACATGTACAGTGTAGTACAGCTTCGGTTTTTTCACTAATTTTCATGAGTGGTAATTTAATAGCTAAAATATAAACAATATATTCATTGATAATCAGTTTGCTGTGTTCTCAACTGACCTTTCATCGTTTTTTTCTATATATTCTCGTCTTATCAGAACAAAAATTCTATAGTCTATCACCTTATAGACATTTCTACTTGAATATATTTATGTACAAAACAGGACTGACGCCCTGTCCACTTACGAGCTAACATCGTACGTGTTACTTATAAACAATTTTATAGAAAATTTGTGATAAAACAACATAATAATAGTTACTTGTGAGCACAATAAACAAATTTGTACAATTTATTATGCGCTTGCTAAATATTCCATATATGTACCTATATATGAGAGAAAATTGATTTTTTCAGTTTTTCTTTCTTTCTATCGAATAAAATGTGATGAACGTTGTAGCAATCGAACCCCGTTTTTCTCGGTTTACTTTCTTTTCTTTCACTTAGTTCGTATGCGAATGAATTTTCTCGATGACAACCTATGTTTCCTCTCTCGCGTATTCGCACTGGGTTACTAAAAACTCATTGCTCTAATCATTCAGTGGCACTGATTTGATATATTTGATAATTATCTTCGTAACATGCATAAATACATGTATTCAATAGATGTACATAAATAGTAATGCTCGTGCGCGGCAAATGAATTCTGAACCACAATTCATTAACGTTTCTTTTTTATTTACAAATACAACCGAACGAAGTCCTTCCTTCAACGAAATGTAACGTAACGGAAGAAATAATTTCCTATTGCACGTATTCTCTTATACATCTTATTCCCATCGAATATGGAAAAATACTTGGCAAGTATTGTGTTGATGCCTAGCTCCACCAAGATGTTATTCGATGTAACATACGATACAACGGATATTGATAATTTTTTTTCATTAGAATCGTATCGATAATTCATTCGTTTTTCTTCAAGCAAAAACTGCTCTTCCATTAGTTTATAATTGAACGTTTCTAAATGATACGATTGCGATAAAGATAGTCTAAGCATGGTCCAAAATTCATTATGCGGCACAATTGAAATAAAGTTCGCTCTCGCGAAGGCAAATCAAACTGTTCACACAACTCTAATAAATATTGGACTAATGTGTCGTATGAGTACGATCTTATGGCTACTTGCAATGTCTCTCTTTTTACGTGTACTGGCACAAATCGATCATTTCCCCGTTATAGAAATTAAACGACTGATACTTCGCGTTCACTTCTACCTCTTATTCGTAGTTGCTCTTCCGCACCCCGTTCGAATGCTTTACTTTCCTTCGGAAAACTTTTCTCTCAAGCTCTTGATTTTATGGACAAAGTACGTTTCTAAAGATTCCGCGCACTTAAAGAATGGCGATTCTTTCGGATTGTAATAACGACAGTTGTCGAATATTTTCGTCATGTCCCCAATGAACTCGCTCAACTTCTTGTAAGATCTATCGTTTATCCTCAACTCAATTGTCTGCAAGTCTGGAATTTATGTATTCGATTAAATAAGAGAAACTCGTGTATAGACTGTTCGATGGAAGCGATAGTAATGATCAGTGAATTTAAAGGCTTACCCATTGGTTCTTTTATAACTTTATAATAGTCAGGAGCTTCATTTGGGTCCACGGGTTCCATAAATGGCCAGGCGCTCTTATGTGCCTGAACATCACACACACACGCCATTTATTACATTAATATTATTTCATATTGTTTACATCTTTTATCTCGACAGAAGTGAATTATTTGTTTGGTTCTACAGTCACTTTACCTGTATCTGTTTAATTAATTTCTTCAGAAGATCGAGATCTTTCGCATTTAGGTTTTTCATGTTAGCAAAATTAACAGAGGAATTTCGTTGGCAATTCGGACAAACGTATTCGTCTATATTCTCGGCTTCCGACTGAAGAATACCCACGCATCGACCATGGAACCAATCCTGACATTTGTCGCAGCATATATAAAACCTATGAACACAGGAAACAGTTAACGTCAATACACTTGTCTCGACAGGAAATAAAGATTTAATATAATTGTCACTATAACTTTTACTGCACATGACATACTGAGATTCGTCGTATGGCTGTTTACAAAGACAATACAATTCTTGCGTGTCTCTCGCATGTCTGCACTCGGTACAAACAAATTCGGAAAGGGTTTTACACATTTCTTCCGTGATACCCACGCAATCTCCGTGAAACCAATTATTACAAAGATCGCATCCTACATAGAATCTAGTCCGGGCAAATAGTTACACTCATTACAAGAAAAATATATATGTATATATGTATATATGTACATGTATATATATACGTATGTATACACGCTACAGAGGAAAGCTTGTATCTGAATGCTTACTTGGTCTCATCGTAAGGTGTTCTGCACAAGCAATACAACTTTTCTTTTTTAATTCTATTAGTGGCGGCTGCTGTCGAGGCACCCGGTGGTGTGGTGCTACTCCCTTGCGCTTTATACTTCTTTGGCCTGCCACCTCTATTCGGGGGGCTAACTTGTTGAGCTATCTGAGCATTAGCTTTACGCTTTGCGCTCCCCACTTTAACTTCGTCCTGTTTGTGTCTTTCCGCTTTCGTTCTTGACGCTAGTTCAGCCGATAGGTCCTTCTATGTCCCATAAAAGAATATCATTAAGTTACGCTTCTAACAGGAATCACAACGAGATACTTCAACCGACGTACTTGAATGTCTATTTGCAACTCTTTCTCGAGCAACGCCCTCTTTTTTAGGATATCCTTCTTAAGCAGCTCTTTATGTCTAAACAGTAAAACCTGCATTCTCGAATGCATCTGTTGCTTTCTTCTCAATTCTTGACTGTCCTTCAGCTTTGCTGCTCGATTCTTCGGTACAGACTCATTCTCCGTTTGTTCTACGACTTTTTGTACTCTGCGCGAAACAATGAATAATATATATACATATCAGTGTCTTTCCTTTAAATATAATCTTCCCTCTAAATATAACCTTACTTTGGCGTCTCACGATTTTCCTGTTTTATCGCGGGTTTCTTTCTAGGCGTTTCCCAGTTCGCGTCCTGGTCGTTCGTCGATGATTGTATGCTAGTCGGTGTAGTTGTTGTTGGAATGTTAGTGGGTGCTGGTCTTTTACGAGATGGGACACGTGGGGTAGTAACCGTGGGCGTGGTGTGAGTTTGATTGGTGGCCACCGAATTTTCGACGCTGCCTTTCATTTGTTTCTCTTGGTATCGTTGCAGCTGCAGCAGCTTCTCTTCTATCTCCGGGTTCAGGTTCTCTTGTTTCAAAGCATTTTTTATAGCTGAAAACAATCCGGTCATCATAATTACATTAACATCACACCGAGCAAAGAGTAATTAGCCAAATCAGTGTGACTAGCAACTAACTTTGCTGAATGTAGTCTGGTGTTAAAATAAATTTATTGCCTGAAGAGTCGCTTCCTTCCTTCAAAGTCTGCAACGGTTGTTGACCGTTGGCTACGGTTGTTTTCTGAGAGTCCTCTTCGGAAGGGACACTCGGTTGGCCAACTTGCTGGACAACTACCTTCGGTTTCTCCGGGGAAATTGGCGTAGCTGTCGCTGGAAGCTCTGGAATGCTTTCTGCTCCGGTTTGTGGCTCTGTCGAACAATACAAATTTACAATCATTCACCTGCATTTGTACATCGAATACATTCAGAAATCGGGAATTGCAGATACAAACCAGTTGCCGCTGGAGGTGAAACGACCGACTGTTGCGCAGTCTGTGTTTTCGCCATTGGGGTAGCAGGAGTATTTACTGTGGTGGAACTTTGAGAATTCTGTAAAGCTTGTTGACTATTCGGCGCTGGTTGAACAGCCAAATAAATTTTAGTAGGCCCTAACACACCTTGCTTTCCTGTAGTGGCTTGAGCTGGAAAGACAGTTGCGCACGTTACAAACACGTCAACAATATTAACATCTTCATACAAAATCTTTCATTTCCGAACCTTTAAGTAACTGTTGTTTGACCTGCTGTTGCACCATTGCAAGTTGTTGTGGTGTAAAATCCGCACCCTGTAAACCTTGTAAAACTATGCGAGGTCCTTGAGTCGTCTGTATAACTTGAGCGGTAACGCATTTAATGACAGTGCCTGGCGGTTGACCGGCCAACAACGATGCCTCTACACTTCCAGGTGCTGGAGCGGTAGAGCTCTGATTGGACACAGTCGTATTACTCGCGTTTGCATTCGTAGTAGCGTTGCTGCCAACAGTACCATTTGTTGTTTCAGTCGATTGTGCTCCCGTTGTTGTTGTTGTTGTTGTTTGAGCAGTTTGTAGTGCAGGAACTGTACACAAGAAAAAGATCATTTAACGTTGAACAATATTTTTGTAAATTCTCATACTTAGCTATATATAGATTAAAAGAACAAACCTTGTTGCTTACTCGGGGTGATAGTATTTTTCACTATAATACTACTATTTGCTGAGTTTAAATGCACAATTTGATTGCCTGTAGGCGTGCTACGGATTACCACTTGATGACCGCCGATTGTCGTTATTTGAGCTTTACCCGTTGCAAGTTGCTGAGCCAGGTTAGCGTTGGTCACTACTATTTGGTTTCCGCTGATCACTTGACCACTGGAGGATAAAACCTATAAATTAATAATACATTAATATCCGTGATGACTCAGTTTACATTGACAATATACACGTACCTGTGCGCCCTGTACAATTTGTCCAGTGTTAGCCACTACAATAGCATTTTTTGTCGTTTGAGTAGGTGTCGCGATAGCCACAGTTGTTGTTGTACGTTGCACGGCCTGCTGAGTCTGTGCTTGCGATTGTTGCGCTGCCTGTTGCGTTGCATTCGCTGCTGCCTTGGTTGGACTAGTCTTACTAGCGGTGGCGTTGGACGTGGATTTAGTTGCCGTGGTGGTTGCTGTTTTCGCCTTGGGACAATCGTTATAATTTAATAAACACTATCGTTCTTGTACCTTACTCATATTCTACTGTTTCACGGATTCTACCTGTGTAGTTGAACTATTCGCAGCTGATTGCGCCGGGGTTGTAGTGATCGCTTGACCAGTGTTCAACACGTGCAATTTTCCATCAGGCATTTGAACTAATTGCTGGCCAGGCATTAAACCTCGAACTTGCAGCTTTCCATCCGGACCTCTCAAAATCTGTACCTTCTGTTGAATTTGTTGTACAGGTGCTATTTTGCAAAAGAAAAACAGGGTTACAAATTTGCTTCTGTTACAGCCAAATGTAACCACTGATTCGAATAAATACCTGCTTGCCCGGGAACCTTGATCAATGACTGCTGATTGCCACTTTGCAATTGAGTCTTAGGTAAAATGCTCGTTGGCCCGGAAACAACTTTCGTTGTACCATCAGCCGCTATTTAAAGCACAGATAATATTAATGTTTACTAGAATATTCTATACTCATGCATATTCGTTTAATATTTACGTGATATTTACATTTCGTCATATAGATACGTCTGGTTCCAATCAAAGTCTTGCTCTGCGTAGGAGTCGTCAGAAGAGAAGTCAACTGTGATTTTGTTCCGCTATTTGGATTCGCTGGTATAGCAACCTTCGAAACTAATTTCACCGCGCCGTCTATGGATGAACAATGAATATTTTAAAACCGACGATACTTTATTAGAAGACAGATTTAACTGACGAAACTGAGTCTCACCATGGCCAGAGTTAGCAGTGACTTTAACGAGTTGCGTAGGTGAAGCAGAGTTAGCCGGACTCTTCAAGGTTTCTAGAGCTCTCTTCTGTTGGTGAGCGGCTCTCTGCATGCGCAACTGTTGCTCCATTTTCTCTTTGATCTCTTCCGGTGTTGCTTTACCGCTGACAAGCTGATCGCCAATGCCAGTGGTGGATCCTGAATTTCTGTTAGAACCAGCACCTGCAGATTGTGGCTGACCGGATCGACTCCTAGTAATAATCTGGGCATTAGCCTTCTCTAACCTGGAGAGGACACACATCAAGCGGAGGGTTAGTATCAGATGGTGTTAAACGGGGATAGGTCAGACATCGAGTGATTTTATAAGGTGAAAGTGTCAGGAGCCGAATGCAACTTCTCGTTACGACTTATTTGTGTTAAGTAAATTCGAAAATATAATAGAAAGTGAATCGACGTGACGATACTTTGAAAGGCAACAATTTCTAGAAGAAACTTTCGATAAGAATGTCTGGAATGTTTCTGTTAGCATACCTGTCACCGTACTGTTTGATTTCCCATAATTCTAATTTATCTTCGTCGACCCATTCCTCTGTAACCTGTGGTTCGGTGCTCTGTGGCGACTCTGGTCGCTTCCTTTTTCTAAGACCACTTCTTATAGATGTTACTTCTGCGAAACGTAAAACACAATGAGTTCCATTGAAACCCTGGCTGTTTCATCGACTTATCCGTTAGACTGACCTCTGACTTGCTTCGGCAATTCCAAAGGTATGACCACCTTCCGGCGTAAGTACTGTGTTTTATCTAAAAATTGACCAACGTGGCGATGTTTTAAAATCTCTAATGACATAATCTCTGTGTCCGTTGTAATCTGATGTTTGCCATCCGTAGATAATGGCTTCGTAGCCATATCGTCCCATCGAAGGCATCCCCATAGTATTCTCAACTGAAGGGCTGCCGCGGCCAAAGATTTAATGCCCACCGTTCGGTACAACCAACAGGTCTTGAACAGTGGTCTAGGACAAGGATACGGCCACACGGACATGTTTGCCTGAAATCAATTCAAATGAAATGAATAAACGAACGAATTTCTTCTTTTTCAAATGATTATGGAATTCAATGAAACGTACCTTGGCCACATGATGGAATCCTTGAACTGGCATTCGTCCACCGACCCTGGCCAATTTTCGCAATTCGTGTTGCGGAAGTAACAGTATACTACGATGTTTGTTTTTCGTGCAGAACGTCGAACACAAAGGGTACTTGACAGGAGTACGTTTCTTTTTTCTATCCGCCAAAGAAATCGAGACTTTCTTCAAATAGACTTTCCCTTCGGTCGACACAGCACTGTACACTCTTTCTGTACCATCCGCGTTCAGTTCTTTGGCCACTGTACTTCTCTGCACGGTTCTGCCTCTTCGATTCACGATCGTCGTCTTTTGCCCTGTGCTATTAACATTAACGACATCGTTAAATTGAGAAATTCATTTCGATCGCAAACGTCTCTTAAAGAAAGACATTGTTACCTAGTTTTGGTTTCGGTAGAAAATGTAACCGAATTCTGGGAAGTTGTGTTCTCCCGCATACTCTGGACTACGCCGTCTACGGTTTTTACAGTCTGCTGTGTTGTAGTTACCGTGGTGGTAGTGACAACATTATTTGTCGTTGTTGTTACCGTATCTGTGTTTTCTGAACTTCCATCAGCTTTCTGAAAAGGAATCAAATATTTAGTGTATCGTTACATTTGAAATATACTAATATCAATATACTTGAATATATATATATAGATAGATATATGTACAATATTGTATATGTACAATATATATATATATACAATAGCTCACCGCATTGGATTCAAGTTTTATTTTCTTGGCGGGAGGCGATAATACATTGGTGGCGGGAGTCTCTTCCTTGCAGTGGGTCGCCAGTGCCACCGCAGATTCCAGATCCTTCTTGATCGCCTCCTTACTTTCGTCGCTCCCTTCCGTTTTTATTCCACTTTGCTGCGCCTGTACCGCAGGCGTGCTAACCACTAAACTCGCCGACGACTGATTGTTATTCAAAGCGTTGGCCTTCCTTAGTAGCGTAATAAGATCACGTTTCAGCCTAGCCTTTTGAAGACATATGGGGGAGTAACACGTGGACGTCAGGCTTTGCGTTGTAGTCCCAGTTTTTCCCGGCGGCGCCGTCATGTTGCAGTATCGTGAATAACAATTGCTGTTTTTAGTAAGCCTCATAATGTTCGCGTACTGCGCTTTCACGTGCTGAATACGTTTCCCTATTACGGCCAACATCTCTCTAGCCGACGTGGATATGGTTTTGCTGGGCTGCTTCCCCGTGAGGATACTTTGCAAAGTATGCTCACCGCCATCCGTGTCGCTTTCTTCGTTATTCTCGATGTCAACCTCGGACTCTCCTTCAGCCTTCTGACTCGTGGCTTGATTCTGCTGCTCTTTTGATTTCTCCTGAAATACAACTACGCGTTAATTCAAAGGAAACGCGTACGAACAGTCGGTCAAAGTTGAATCTCAATCATTGCCGCTGATAAAATTACATCCACTCACAGTCTGCAATAATCTCCTTTCCTCCAAAAGCTTCAAATGGGTTCTACGCGCTAGAAAATCATCGATTCTCGTCTTTTTGGCGATTTTTGGATAATGGAGTCTTCCGTTGGTAGTTAACGCTTTAGTAATGTCGATCTCTTCGAATTCTCTGATCGGAGTGAACACTTTCTCGATTTTTATACCAGCTAAAACTACAAAAAGATGAATCGAGTTAATAGGAAAAATTCAAGGAATTTAAATTGAAAAATTGGAATTGATTGAGTAAACATTGTTCGTAATACGTACATGATAAATTCATCTTTGTTTCTTGCTTGACTGGTTGCGATTCTGTTTTGGCTTCCGCCTCGTTTGTCTTCGTAGTGGCTTCTGCGTTATTTGCTTTGTCTTCTGTTGGTTCAGCTTTCACGTTCTCCATCTTGCATTCCTGTTTTATTGTTGTGTCCATTGCGTCTTTGGAGGACTCCTCCTCTTTGATCTCTTCCTTGATCTTTATTTCTACGTTGTTATCTTCCTTCTTCGATGGACAATACTCCTTGATTAAGAACTCATACGTAGGAGGATCCAAAGCTAATATTTTTAATCCTTCCTGATCCCTGATTTGCACCATAACTTTCTGAGGACCCATCCGAAGACCTAATTTCGTCATGTCGGAGAATTTGTAACGGCGACTAGCAGACACCCATAGCCAACCACCTTGCCCGTGAATCCTGTACTCTTCTCCTTTCTGTTTCCAAACTTGATGCTTCAAGCCCAATGTGTATTTAACAAAATTATATAAACGGTTACGTTCTTCTTCGTCTTCTCTCTCCTTCTTATCTTTCTTATCTTGCCGCTTCTTCTCTTCTCTCTCGAGAGCTGTCACTCTCTGTAGTTTTACGTGTCCAAGTTGGTCGTGCCACACGCTAGCGAACACCACTGATTTAATGCACGCCTGCAATACGATAAGAGCGCGTGCGAAATCTCTGGGATTGACGCAAGCACCGACTGCTGTAGTCCACGGCTTACGCAGAAGAGGCCAGTTAGTGTGCATATACGGTGCCTGAATACTACTTTCAAGCTGAAGAATCGTCTGACGAAGAGTGCTAACCAGAAGAGCACGGGTTCCCGTCAGACTTCCTACCCACTTGAATTCGGATGCTTGAGTAAGCGAAAATTTGTGCGACAAATGTCTCTTCTTGTCTCGTTCCTCGTTGCGCTGAGCTTTATTTAGAGCGATAGGATTGGTACTGTACTGATTCACATACGACTTGAAGTTGTTGTCCATTCCTAATTTGAACAGATGAGTGCCCGAAGCTATTTGATGAGCTTTTTGCCTGGTCAATCGTGTGCCATCTCCCTCTTCTTTTAAACTTTTATCCAACTTCTCCAATTCTTCTTTCGACATTTGTGTACCGGTACGTCTCTTCAAATCGTCCATGTTGAACGTTCTAGGTTGTAAAGACCCTGTCTTTGACCTCGTTACAATTGTATGCTTCTTACCATCTTTACCAATTTTTGAAACACTCTCTTCCCCTTCTAAGGCTTCCTCGTCGATTTCTTCGGACGATGAAGTGGATGCACCAACTTTGGCACCTTTGTTCGCTGCGTCTACATCAGTATCTACACTATCCACTTCCGCATTTTCTGCCGCCGCTTCAGGAGCATTTTCTCTTGTAGTCGACTCTTCGGTTGGTTTTGCTTCTTGTTGATCCGTCACAGCTGCCAACTGTTCTTCAAGAGAATCCGAACCTTCGTGTATTCTCCGTACCATGTCTTCAGCTTCTTGCCTCTGTTTCTCCTTCTTCTCTTCTTCCTCTTTTTCCTGTTTCTCCTGTCGTTCTTTTTGCAATTTTAGTATAAGACCTAGATTAAAGAAGATATTAAATAATGCATCTTAAGGATTCGTAAGAAATGCTGAGGGATATACGTTGAAACTCACTGTTTTCTACTTCCAAGTATGATTTCTTGTTACCCTTGAATTGATTAGTGATTGATTCCGTAAGTTCCATTTGGCGTACAATTTCATCTTTGTAATCAGATAGCTCACGATACAGTGCAACTTCCATTTCATTACGGTCTAAGGTAAGCATTAATTCTTCTAGCTGTAAAGGTGTACTGTAGTACCAAACCTCTCCATCTTCGCTTTCACTGTAAAGAATGTAATAGTATGTTATGAATTTAAAGAAGTAATTTGAATGATATTTCACGATCGTACAGCAAAATATGTCTTACACAAAAATTCTTCTTGCAAGAAACCAATATTTTCTGCCATGTCTATCGAAACCTAAATGTTCCTGTCGACATAACGAGCCATTCTTTTCAACGTCAGGTATACAATCCGCAACACCGGTAACTTTATGAGCTTTACATGTACTGCACTGCCAGTCTTCTGTGGGAACATCGACTAATGGAGGTTCAACGCACTCTAAGTGGAATACAGCTGGGCAGGTTTCGCAACACAGCAAATCTCCCAGACGGTGACAAACTCTACAGTGATCGTCGTAATGCATGTTTCCTAGAAAATATAGTTTTTATATATGTATGAACACAGCAGTGTAGCTCGAATGAGAATGACATAAGTATGAAATAAAAAAAAAAGAAAAATAATCAACTTTTCAGCATGGACACATCGATCTCTCCTGCTGACTGGACATAAGAATTTGTTAAATAAACATAATAAAGCAACACGAAATATTGTTTAATATACCTTCGTGTAATAGATCTTCTCTTACAGGATTTGTGATTAAAAACTGATCTGTTAAGAATTGAAGCACCTTGATCCTATCCTCGATGGAAGTAAACGGGTATTCGGATGTTGACAAAATGTGTAGAACGTTTTCATCGAAACTCTTATCACTTTCTACGTAAGAGCGTAACGCTTCTGGCCAACTCATAGAATCCACAAAATATAAACTAACATTTACAGAGTCTTTCTGATCGAGAGGACCAAAGTGTGTCTGTTGAGAATCCTCCTCCCTAAGGAGAGCTTTGATAAGCATAATATGTATCTCTGCCAGCAAGTTGGTTTGATCCTCGCAAATGAGGGCAGCGCAGAAATCTTCAAACCTAAAGGCCGATAGTCGTACCAAAGTGCGGAAGTGTCTTAATACTTCATAAATAGATAAAGAAGGCATAACGTATTCTTTAGGTACTAATAGGTCATCTGAAGATTTAGGTATTACTAGAGGTGGCAGTTCCCTGTTCTGAAGCCACAACGGTTCAGGGCTCGGCGGCCTCTGTTGACTAAGCAATGTTTTACGGGGTGTACCGCTGGTGGTACTGTAACTGGAGAGAGAAAAGTCACTGTCACTCGACGGGTCAGGTTCCTCTATACTCTCCGATGACTCCACGTCACTTTGCAGGGGATCCTCTTCCACTTCGCTCTTCTCACTGGACTCGTCGCCGAAATCCGAGCCATAGTGATATTCGGAGTCGTTGTAATCAACATTGGGATTGTAACCTCGGCGGTGATAGACTCCAGAACCTGAGTGGCCGCCTTTGCGCGAATGTCTCTCTCTGGGTCCCCGGGATTTTCGGGTTCGAGTGCTCCGTCTGCTCTCCTCGCTTTCAACTGGCGACGACGGCCTCGATGGTGTCGGCGTGCTCGGCTGTGAGTTTGGCGTTTCCGAACCTTTGTTTTGCAAATATTTTGGCTTTTTCATCAGATGATATTGAAACTTTTTCGGCCTTTCCATGACCACCGACTTGGGGGGTCGGCCCCGTCTCTTCGACCCTCTCCCCGTCATTGTCCGTCACGCACTGTCAACGAAATGGCACTTACTTAACACGTGGTTTGTGGAAACGCGCGCTTGTAAACAAATACAAATGACACCGTAGCAATGAAATGGAACTCATGTTTGTACTCTGATCTTTGCGCCATTTTTCGGCTACGGTCACGTGACCAAACACAATTCTTTCATGATCAACGTTTCCGTACGATCTTGCGTGGCCTGTATCTCTCTATCAACGAACGACGACCACCCGCCCACAACAATAAAAACCCGATTTTCCAACCGATAACGACGAAACTAGGTACGGAAAATCATTCACTGACGCGAGTGTAAGGGGTATTTACAATATCTGATCTCCTAAGAGAGCGCTGTTCCAATTGGCTCATTGAATCGCCGCCATGTCTGGCCTCGAACGCATCTACTCAAAATCTAGACGAAATCTTCGGTAAAGTTTTCCTTTTTCCTGTCTAGAACAGTCTACGGGTGAACCGCATTCCCTGCGAACGTGTTTCAATGGGATTCATGCGGCTCGAGGACCGTTTGATCGCCTTTCAATTTCTCACGAAACGTACAGAAGATCCAATCGCTTTCACCGTAACTACACAAGATCCTGTCAGATCAACAATAGGTGGCGACATGCGCGGTTGGAAAAACGCGTATTCTAACCGCACTTCCGATGAAACGCTCTCGCCTTTTCCGCGTCCGCTTCCTCTCGTTTCTCGGCCGTTCCTCCTATTTTAATATACCATGCTTTTTATTAGCCACCAATTAACTAATTAGTTCGTTCACCGATTCGCACGGATTCCTTGTTACCCGCAAGAGAGAAATCTAACCTTAGTTCGGGAGAAGCTTCGACAGAGGACACCACCTGAACTCCAATTTCTCGCTCCTCGTTACGTCGGTATACATTTTTTTAACATCTACCCTCGTACCAATTAAAAATCATCCTGTTTTTTACGAAGCTACATTTTCCCGCACGTTTAGCCTGTAAACTCTTCGATAATAAACTTTTAGCAATTCCTTGAAAATAAGCGACCAACGCGACATCTTCCAACTTTCAAACTACACTCTGTAAAGTTTAAACGGGAATTTTGCATCCTGTTCTCTTTTACCAAAGACCAGTCGATTATTCCTGTTCCTGTGTTTCTACAAATACTGGAAACAAACGTACTTTATCGAATGAATTCTACGAATGATTCTACGTGGACGGTAAACAAACACGTGCGACATATTCGACGATTAACGTGTAGCATGAACGTTGCCAATTGGAGCGTTACAGGAATAGTTCCTATTAATATAATGATAATTACGAAAGAAAGTTAATACAGAAAATATATGCGACGTCCGAATAAAGGAATCGGTGCTCGCCGGTACAATTAAACGGTATAAATAAATCACGATGATTTTCTACTGACAGTTTAGTGTCTATGTTCTCTCGATGGCTCCCTATTCGAAAGAAAAGAACAACCTATTTCTCTCCGTCGAATAATTCCATAAATAAGAGAAGATTATTTTACGGTGTATCATACAGAAAGAGGATACAAAGAATTCCGACAGAAACGAGGAAATTCTCGGACGAAGTAATTTCGCGAACAGTTACGGCGCCATCTTTGAAACGGATGTCAACGGTGGCCGCAGTGGTGGTCGGAAAGCCAGCGGCGGCAACACGAAATCGCGATAGTGACAGGTGGAGGGGGATGAAAGAAAAATGGCTGTCTAACGAAAATCGAGAAATACGAAAGACGAACGAGAGTGTGATGATCAATTGTGAGGACGAATTGTCGACTTTTTTTTTATAAATCGGCCACGTAGAAACGAGCGAAATGCGCAACGAAATGGCGATGTACGCTCTGAAACCGATCGTTTCTCTTCCGGACACGTTGCATCACTCAGAAACGATGTACAAAATGCGAAATATTCACGAAGAACGATCCAGGGACGACGACCATACGGAAGCCGAGAACGAGATCGTGCCTGATATCACAGAGCAGGTTATCAACTTTTTGAAGGTTTTCATCATTTCTGTTCTCATGCCGGCGTGGAAACGCGCGTTAACGCTAATTATACTAGAATCGAGTCGGTTTTTTACTTACGATTTTAACGTGCATGGTAGCTACGAGCCTTTCTTCTGTCTCGAGCTTGTTGTGCATGACTCCTCCCAAAATTTCCACAAGCACTAATCACGATCGACCGGGAATATGGTTCTACAGGCTTGATCGATGCGTGCCCCTCCAATTTTTCGTCTAACAGGACACTACGCGGCTACGGGTATGCGAAAAATTCAGCTCGGCCAAAGGATAAGCGGGAACGCGGAGATAATTATTATAGAAGAAGGGCAAGCTCACTAAATTAGAACTGCACTGAAAGCTACAAAGTACAGTTGTATAACCAAACACACAGAAAACCTAACCCAGTAAGATGTGTGCACCATGTAGCTGTTTACTGGTCCCAATCAACAATGTTACTGGTCAACTGTCAAATCTAA